TTTTTTTTTGGTTTTTCTTGGGTACTGGGAATCGAACTCACAACCTTGCACTTGCCAGGCAGGTGCTGTGCCACTGAGCTAAATCCTCAGCGCCCCCCACTCCTTTTTCTTTTGAGACAAGGTCTCACTATGCAACAAGGCTGACCTCAAACTCACAGTGATCCTCATTCCTCAGCCTCCTGAGTGTTGGGATTACCGGCATGCAGTAAGGACAAATCTCTCCCTCCCAGGGGAGACAGATAACACTCACCTGGCTATTGTTATTTTTGTTTTGTTTTTTTGAGACAGGTTCTCACTGTGTAGGCCAGGCTGGCTTTGAAGTCACTATGTAGCTCAGGTTGGCCTCAACTCATGGCAATCCTCCTGCCTCAGCTTCCAAAATGTTGGGATTTACAGGTATGTACCACCACACCTGGCTTCAAGCCTCTTTTATAGGGATACTAAAGCTTTTCCTGTGGATAGAGCCTTAATGACCTACTTACCTGTCAAAGGACATGAATTTGGGGGTGACACATGTTTGGGCCATAGCAGATGGCACAGGAGCCAGCCCAAGCACACAGTGGCTTCTTGATGGATGTTACTGGCTGGCCAATCACTTGAAGGCTTTGCTTTGCCTGTATCAGCCTCCCCCAGCTCCACTGCGTTATCTGCTTCCCCCGGGAGGGAGGGATTTGTCCTCACCACCCTCCCACTCCACGTAAGAGCTGGGTTCCTCCTATTTGTGGGCAGGTAGAGGAGGCCGCTGGAGGGGCCTGGCCAACTACTGAGCTCAGTGCCTCCGCTCTAAGCAGGGCTTCCTTTCGTTTGTTTTAGAGCAGTGAGTATATATAGGCCCTGTGTAACCTGTTCCTTCTGAATGGCCTGGACCTACTGACTTTTTTTTCTTTTTCAGTACAGAGGATTGAATTCAGGGCCTTTGCACTGAGCTACATTTTTGCCCATATATATATTTTCTGCGGGGTTCTGGGAATCAAACACAGGACCTTGCGCTTGCCAGGCAGGCACTCCGCCGCTGAGTCATATTCCTGCCCCACCTTTTATATTTTGAGACAGGGTCTCATCAAGTCACTAAGCTACCCAGGCTGGGCTCTAGGACTATTTCTAACAGCATAAATGAGGCTGTTAGGAGAGTCTTTGGGGGTTGTTGTCTTTTTGTTTTTTTTTGTTTTGTTTTGTTTTGTTTTTGGTTTTGTCTTTTTGAGACAGGGTCTCGCTATGCAGTTCAGGCTGGCCTTGAGCTCACTTTGTAGCCCAGGCTGGTCTTGAACTTGCAACAATCCTCCTACCTCAGCCTCCCGAGTGCTGGGATTACAGGCGTGCGCCACCCCACCTGGCATTAGGAGAGTCTTTCAAATGTCACTTCCTCTCTTTCCTCTTTGCATATAGAGTGAACAGCGCACTGTAGGAGATGCAGTGTGTGTTGTCATGTGTGGGGGCTGCGACTGGCGGTGTCCACCTGTTGTTAGAGCACCCAGGGAGGCGGGGGCAGGAAGACAGAGTTCGAGGCCAGCCTGGGCTACAGAGTGACGCCCTGATTCTAAAAACCAAACACACGCAACAGCTTCAAACAATAACCAACGGCGGGCTGGGGATTTAGCTCAGCGGCACAGTGCCTGCCCAGCAAGCACAAGGTTGTGAGTTGGATCCCTGGTACCAGAAAAAAACAAAAACAAAAACAAAACCCAACAACAATAACCAATGGCCTCGCTGTGTGGCCTGTCCCTGATGTCACCCAGCACCTTGTCACCTGAAGCCCCAGCTGGGTGGGGGATTCAGCTCCTGTTACCTGTGCACCTCTGCAAGATGACTACTTCTGTGTCCCAGCCACACAGCAGCTGGCTTTCCCAAGGACAGGAGAGACAGCAAGGTGGAAGATGTGTGTTTGCATAACTTGATACTCTGTCATTCCCATAAGATCCTGAGGGACACTGGTCATCCAGTTCAGTGCGGTCAGGGTCTACACCGCCTAGACACCTGGCCATGTCTGAGCTTGTCTTTGTCTTGGTAGTTTCAGTGCAGTGTGTCTGTAACTGTAAATGCCTTGGCCCCAGAATTAGCTACCACTGTGACCTCTGTCCTTGCAGTAAAAGCTGCTCTTCCCGTCTGTGCCGAGGGCAGGTTATGCTGGCTCACTGGGCAGGAATACCAGGAAGATAAAGCTGGCTGCAGAGTTAACAGGAAACACATTTTCTTTCGAGGACATGCTTCCTTTCCTCACAGAAATTTTGTTCTGTAAAATCATAAACAGTTGGATATTCTATCAGTAAAAAGGGAGGCTGAGGCAGGAGGATCACTGCAATTTCAAGGCCACTCTGGGCTACATAGCAAGACTCTCTCTCAAAAATAAAACAAGAGCTGGGGATGTGACTCAGCGGCACAGTGCCTGCCTGGCAAGTATGAGGCCCTGGGTTCAATTCCTGGTAAAAACAAAAAACAAAAAAAGAAGCCAGATCAAGAAGGAAGGCCCCGCTCTTGCTACTTTTTATCACCCTTTGTCTCTGCAGTAACAGTGTGGCAGGAGCTACACCATTTCCTTCCAAGGGCACTGCCCCTGGGCTCTGCCACTAGGCTTTGCTTTTTAAAGGTCCCAGCATCCCTTAGCATCACCATGCCCAGGACCAGAGTTCCCATGAGCCCTCAGGCCAAACCACATCCAGATGAGACCAATCCCTTCTCTTCAGTTTCAGGGTCACACTCATCATTCAGGGTGCACAGCAAATGCCTCCTCTGAGAAGCCCTGTTGGAGAGGCACTACTGTTTCGGTTCTTCTGTGTACTCCTCAGTGCTTGAGCATACAATTATTAAGCAAGCTCTTTTGGGACTGCAAAAAAAAAAAAAAAAAAAAGCAAGAATAAATAGTCCATTTTAAAAGAGAGCCACAAATCAAGCAGTGTGCTGTTATTGAGGAACTGAGAACAATTTAGCACAATTCTCAGGGGAATTTTAGGCTGGCAAAAGGCCAACATTTAATTAAAATACTGCATACGGAATTAATACAGTGGTAAGAAGCATTATAAATCCTGGCATTATGAGAACTCTTTGAACAGTGGGCCTAAACCAAAAAGCTTTTTGCCACCCAAGTCTGAAAGAGCCATCCAACTGTTGTTTTGTGGGTTGTTTTTTTTTTTTTTTTAAACTTATTTTGGGGTGTGGTGGCGCACGCCTGTAATCCCAGCACCCAGAAGGCGAACACAGAAGGATAGTTGCGAGTTCGAGGCCAGCCTGGGCTACAAAGTGAGCTCAAGGCCAGCCTGAACTGTATAGCGAGACCCTGTCTCAAAAAGACAAAAAAAAAAA